AATTGAATATGGCATATCGAATGTTGTTATTATATGAAAATAAGAAAAAAGAATTTGCTTTATAAGCTTAATGGCGATTTTAATTATATATACATATATATTAATATTTGTGAACTGTTATTTAATAATCTAACATAATACAAAATTTAAGGTTTTCTGTTTTTTTGGTCTTATTTTAATGTATTTAACTAAGTGTACCTCTCTATTATGAATATTTCCGAGTGTGATACTTTCTATTGTACCTTTCAATGTTATTTAAATCAGATAGTTAACTTAATGAAATGCTCAGTTTCTGTTAACATATATAGCGAAATTTTGTTTTTTATCGTGTACCAATATCTATTGATATCTGTCATTGAATGGAATATAAATATTTATAAAGGATTATAAGAGTTATATTATCATTTAAATTGTCACTTTTAGTAGTTGATCTATAATTGTTTCTCCGAACTAAGGTGAAAATAGTAATGAATTACAGCACAATTTTATTTTTAATTAAATTCGTTTTTTAACTGCCCATACAGCCATTTGGATAATGCCAAATATCAATTACCAATTATGTCTTATGATAAATTTTTTGGATCTATTTATGCATTTATAATGTATAATCTACAAGTGCCAAGGGTTGTACTTTAACCTTGCGTAGTGTAAAACCTTGAGCTAGGAGCATGACAGATTAAGAACGTAGATGGGTTTAAATTCAAACCAAGGGTTGTACTTTAACCCTGCATAGTTTAAAGCCTTGAGCTAAGAGCATGACAGATCAATAACATAGATGGGTTTAAATTCAAACCAAGAGTTGTACTTTGACCCTGCGTAGTTTAAAGCCTTGAGCTAAGAGCATGGCAGATCAATAACATAGATGAGTTTAAATTCAAACCAAGAGTTGTACTTTTGACCCTGCCTAGTTCAAAGCCTTGAGCTAAGAGCATGGTAGATTAACAACGTAGATGAGTTTAAATTCAAACCAGCTTGAGACTGAAATAATATGGTCATTTTAGTGATTCAGAACCATAGATAATGTAGTTCGTGATGAATCTAATTAAAAATAATAATAAGTTTGAGTCTTGGATTACGTTAGAGAACAACCAGTAGTTAATATTAAAATTTTATGTTTAAGTATTTCAAATGTTTCTGTTTCTTCAAAAACGCTTATGTGAATAAAATAAAATTTTGTAAGTCAATTTTTATTTTTATGTAGTCAGTCCTCTATATAAATATCGCAGAGGTTTTGAAGTTTATTGGACTTCTTCCTCAGATCGGAGTATTCTTGCAACTGCTGTTAGGAACATATAAAGTAACTTTTTATACTGGAATCTGTTTACAAATTTAGTTCTAAATAGTAAGAAATAAATTAAATACTATGCAATATATAAACAATAAAGATTATATAATCAAGATTGCAGTAGTAGCAGGTAACTGTTGCTGATATTGTTACTATCCTCTTTCCTATTCATGGTACTGACTATGTTTTTTAGTATGTGGATGCTCTCTAGAGTTACTCTTTTGTTATGGTTTTTTTCTTTATATATTATTGGCACGTAATCTAGGTCTGCTCTTTCTATATTCTGTACATATTCAATATCCTTTAAATAAAAATACTATTATTATTTAATAATTAGTTAAAATTATTTGCTATATATTTTATACACATTAAAATAATTCATTAACATAATCTTTAAGCTGAATAGCAATGAAAAGTTATTTTACTTCAGATAATCTTCAAATGTATATATTATTATATATATTACTTCTTTATATTCTGTCTATGTCTATCTATATTCAATATCTATATATTCTGTCTATATTCAATATCCTTTAAATAAAAATACTATTATTTAATAATTAGTTAAAATTATTTGCTAATAATTAAGCTTCATAATCTTTAAGCTGAATAGCAATAAAAAGTTATTTTACTTCAGATAATCTTTAGATAATAGATATACATGTAGATATTGGTACACTCATTTTCAATACTTTAACCATTATTAGAAACTTGTCGTCTTTAGTGATATAACCTACTGATTTAACTTATTGATACTGGTGTGACTTAGTGATTTAAGATTTTTTTTTCTATACAACTTGTTCGAAAATTTATATTATTTTAAATAAAAAGTTATAGTTGAAAAACAAGATAGTGAGTTAGTAGGTTATACCAATTGATAGTCTTGAGAAAATATCATAATTTATTATAAAAAATCTTTACTTATTATTTAATAATCTAAGCAGATGATTTGTTTTCAAAATATCTATATATAAAGTTATAGTAAATATCTGATTTTAGTGTTACGTTTAAAGTCAATATTAATCAATATATGTATGCTTAATCAAAATATTTCAATCAAATTAAGTTTTAATGGCAGCTTTTAGGTTTTACCTTATAATTGCTTTCAAAAAAGTTAAACCAAAGTTATTTAAGGTACTTTTAAACTATTAACGTACATTATAAATTAAGCATAATAATAATACTTATTAGTGTTTAAATGAAATTATTTAACTTTATCAATGTTAACTTATCACGTGATCATAAAACTTCAAGGCGTAAAAAAACTGTTAAAAAGAAGAATCGAAACCGTTCATTAAATAAATTTTATAAACTATTTATTGTATATTACTAAAGATTACCAAATAAATAAACTAATTGTGCTTATTCACAAGCATAAAAATGAATATATATACTATATGTGCTTCTATATACATGTCATCATGTATATAATTCAACTTAATATTATAAGAAATTATATTAATATACTTTATATTTTAAAATTATAGATGTTGTATGTACAAAATTAACAAACAAAAAAAAAAACATAATTAAATAAAAATTATATAAAATACATATATATATACATATATCGAGAAAAAAATTACTAATATTATAATTATAATATAATAAAATCTAATGTTGACAATAAAAAAAATGTTATAAGAATGAATTAAAGGCAGTTATTTTAATGTTGTACTGAATTAAATTTGTTGTTTTTAAATTGAAATTAAAAAAAAATATTACAAACAATTTTGTTTCAATTTTTATTATATATAAAAGCAATTATACTTAAGTTTTGTTTAATAAAAATAAAAGCAATTCAAAATTGTCTCTAACTAATAAAATTATGTACTTACATACAAAAAACAAAAAAAAAACAATTGTACTGAAGACAATATTTAGTGACAAAAGAAATTAAATTAACTTAAATAAAATGAAATAAATTATAGTAAATATAACAATAAGTTAAAGATTTGTTTTATTGTATAAAGTTTTAGATAACATATATAATAAACAGCTGCTATAAATGCATAACTTCATTGTTTAAAGAAATGAATTTGGTAGAATTCTTGGTATGAACTTCTTGGTTCAAGAAAACGAAAAAAATGGGTTGGTTTGAGGTTTCAGAAAGGTCAATTTTCAATATTCATCAAGATATTAAAACCAACGATATCAAAATGTCTTTATCAAAATTATTTAAGGTAGAAAAACATTAACGTATTCATATGTATATTCTTTGTGACTGTCCAGCTTTAATAACGCACAGAAGAAACTTGTTTCATATGGAATTTCTGTCACCAGTACAGATTATAAGCTCTTCCCTAGATTTAGTTCTGGACTTTGTTTACTAAGCTTTAAAAGGCTTTATGTTATTAATAGTGAAATTGTTATAATAGGATTCTTCTGACCGCAGTACCGGCTGTTGGGCGATATCACGTCTCAACTTTGAATTCTAATAATAAATGCCTTCGGGAGAAAAACCTCTCCATAAGCACGAAGACCAGTATTAATAAAAACTATTGTGTTGTATTTTCTCAAAGATTGGCTTTCCGTGACACGGCGTTCATTGTTGCCAGTGTCACGGCGAATTTTATTGTCACTAAAGAATTTTTTCACTTTTGCTGGAGATTTTTTCCACTCCGATTAGGAGATAAATTCTTTACGGAAAACTTTTCTCCAATATATTATTACACACAAGGACATTCTTCAAAGATAATTAAGGATGGTTTTACTAAAAACGAATACAAATTTAAAGGTTAGGATTTAGATGGGAAATGGTTTTGTGAGAAGGTGTGGGAGTATTGAGGAGTAAGAGCGGATTGAGGATGGGTGGAATTTAAAACGAAAGCAACTAAGATAAAGACGGAGAAACCTGACCAACAGTATGAGGCGGAGAGTAAAAAAAGTATTGGCACTCAGTGTGAATGTAGTTCTATTTATATAGATCTTATTTTTGAGACACTATAATTTCCAAATCCACTAAGACATTTTTGAGAAGTTTAATAAAATATTAATAGAATTTTTTTGAACAAAAAACTGATAAATAACTGAAGCATGTGTTATTAGTGTAACCTGCGACGTTCTATTGTACCATATTTGAAGAAGCAAGCTTGGTACACATGTTTTATAAATGCTGAAGTACCAACGACAGTGGTATTTAGTACTCATGTAAGAGTAACATAGTTCTGGAACATATATTAGCTTGATCCTGAAATGTATGTTTATACATAAATTTTCTAAGACAGTTTGAGTTACTTTTAAGATAAAAAATTTAATTCGTTTATTCTATACGAAAGTTTTTGGTTTTTTCAATAAATGAATCATTTATTTAATTTAGAAAGTTATAGAGGATATTTGTAGTGAGGTCATCGGTTGGCAATGGGTAATTAAGATAGGTTTTCATTGTTATGCTAACAAAATTTTATAGACGAACAGAAACAGAGTTATTGCGTTTGATGTGACATTTTATGAGATTAGATAACCATTCAGGTTGTCTATATAAGAATTTTGGATAGGTTATACGTCTCTACAAAAGGGAGGATAATCGGCGAATACATTTTTTCTGAAAGGTAAAAGGTACACAGTACTTTGAAATAAGACTATATAAATGTTACATATGTACTAATATGTATTGTATGTATGTATATTATAAAATTACTTAGATATATTGACTATGCTAATATGTGATAATATTAAGAATATATAATATTATGTTTAAGTGTTTACAATTTATTTACAATTTATTGAAATTGTCATTTAAGTTTGTGCTAACTTCATTTAAATTCTTCTCAGTTTTTTTTAATAATTTACGCTTCCCTTCCAAGCGACGTTTATGTTTGTTGGATATTTGATGTAATTTATACTGGTATTCTCCAATGAAATGTCGTTCACAGATGTCACAAAAGTGGCTTGACTAAAATTAAAACACAATAATTATTAATCATATTATGGTTATAAATATTATTACCAACCTCTTCATTGAGTCCCTCACCCGGATGTACGCGTTTTGGCATATGTTCTATTTCACAAACCAAATCACTACGGTAACAATCGATTACAGTAGTCGCACGCTGTAGAACTGCTTCATTCCAAATGCTTACATCGCTCGTATCCAATTCATAGATATTGGGCACTTGACGTTCCTTTGTGGCAAGAAAACGATTGTTAATCCATTTGATTTGCTTTTTGGAGTAGCGCTTTGTGACCAGTTTCAGCTCATTCAAACACGCGCTCAATAACTCCAAGCCAGGGGGCAATGTTTCATTGTTTTCATTGTTGTTACTATTGGTGGGGTCGTTTACTGAACTCTTGTTGTTTTTATTAATTTCTTTGTTGTTAGATTTGAAGTGTTCTGAAGTGATTTTTTATATAATAAAAAACAACAACATGAAAATTTTTAATTACTTATATATGATTTACACTGACATGCGTGTAATAATAATAATAATAATAACGTGCAATGGTGGGAAAATTAGTTTTATTATTTGAACTCAGCAGATGATGACTCTAGAAATTTCTATATACACTATAAAAAACTGTTTTTTTATTTAACCTTTTTATTAATAAACATTTTTAAAGTTTATAAAAAAACTATTTGTGTGAGAAAGATATATCATAAGTTACGTTAAATTAATACAACATATAGGATATCTTATAATAATATCGGATAATGTATATAGTTGTAGAGTTCGCGTGCACAATTTTGGGCCTAGCGATAATAATGGAATAGTATCCGAATATATTTAATATTTATGGTCAGTTTAAATTGTAAAGAAGTTGTAAATACTTCGTAGTGTTCAGTTTTTTGGTTATGATTTCATAGAGGATGCAAATCAAGTTTATAATGAATTTTGCGATTAGTGCTAAAAAAGCTTTTTTTAGATTAGAGATTTCTTGAACTACCTCATATAGAATAGACAGGTGTCTAAAAATATGAAAACAATAATAATATCTAGTTTATGTATGGTACTGGCAAAGAGTTTGAATATTTGCAGGGACAACAAATCTTTAATGAGAGCATGGAATATCTTTGAACTATAGACATGGACTATAGAGTGATATTAAACTCAGAAAAAAAAGTTCTGGTATACGTTATATGAACAGAAGTGTATTTATTTGATTAAAGACTTTCTTATCATGCAAAAAGCATATTAAGGTTGCAATGATCTAGTCTATTAGTAGCTTTTATTCCTGGTCTATTATTATCTATTCAGAATTTAAAATAATGTTTAGACAAGGTCTTTCGTACTTATATAGTTTCGTACTTATATAGTGGTTTGTTAAAAGTATTTATTAACAAAATATAGTCCAATATATATACTTTGATAAGATGTCATTCATTAACTGATTAGAACTAAAGCTGCTACCAAGTAATCTGACGAGTCACCATGATATGTGTTTTTATGTTAATACGTTATTTGTCTAAGGACACATGTTATTGTATTTGCTTGGAGGCAAACGAATATTTTAATTTTTTTGTGACTTTGATGGCTCTCTTCACTAGAATATAACTGAGGCTGTTACCATGTAATGTGATGGATCACTATGACGTGCGTAACTATATCAACAAGATGTCTATGTGAGTAGAGATAATGTCATTCTTGCTTGAAAACAGATAAGTGTAGCCTTTTTGTGATTATCATTTGGGGTAGGGGAGATTACTAAACATTGAATTTCTGCACTGCGCGGATATTAAGAAGTCCTAAGCACAAGATATTTTGACTGTCAATTAAGAGGCAAGTGTCTTCTCTTTGAACACGATTAACTGTTATTTCAAAAAATTAGTTATGGTCGGAGAGCTTCGTGTCTATGAAAGTCCAATACTCTATTAATCTAAAGTTTTATCTACTAATCTGCGAGACATTTTGACTTTCATTTAAAAGACAAGAGTCTTCTATTTGAGCATGATTGACTGTTATACCAAAAGAAGATTAACTATGGTCGGAGAGCTCGTGTCAGTGGAAGGCCAACACTCTATTAATCTAAAGATTAATCTACTAGTCTCTAGTAATATATCTGTTTATATAGGTACTTTAGGTATAGTATAGGAACTATAATATTTCTTAATAAAATTAATATTATTAATTTTTGCTGTTAATTTAAGTGCTAGTGTTGCCAATTGCTTTTAGTGCCTAAGTTAAAGACTTATATACGCGTCTATGTGTACTAAAAAAGTCAAGGCAATACAATATTACTGGAAATATGGTGGTGTCTGTAGCAAAAAACTTTATTTAATGCTTAGGGAAGTAGTACTCGTATTAACACAGCTAGGAGTCAAGTAAATATATAGTATAGTCCAAAATTTAGTAATATATAGTGGTTAGTAGTATCTTATCACTAGAGACAATATATGTTATATATGTATATATAGATATATATTTCATAAATAATAATAACTAACTATAATCCAACTTGTTAGTATCTAGTAATATATAGTGGTTAGTAGTATCTTACAACTAGAGACAATATTAGAGACAATAAATATTATATTATATCTATAAAAATTATTCTCAGTGTTGAGCTATTATTACTATTATTACCTTCTGTTGGCATTTTATACGCATTTGCTCTTAAGTACTCTTCAATTTTCTGATCGTTTGCCGCATTAAACTGCTCCAAATAGGGTATAAATTCTTTAAATCCAATCGTTTGAAGTACGCCTTTGGTGTATGGATTGTCCGCATTGCTGTTAGCAAATTTGCAAAAAAAAAAAAAAAAAAAATTAATAAATAATTAAAAAAAAAAACGGATTAGCAAAAAAGAATGAATCTATGTGTACGTTTATCATGTGAAAAAGAAATGATTAAGATTTAAGATATTAAAATGATTAATCGCTTTTTTTTTTGCTAATTTTTTGTATTTGGCGTTTGTTTACCTTTTATCGCATTTGTGCTCGTTATGAAAGGCGCGTATCTCACGCAATAAGCCCTGCTCCAGCATGGCATCAACACGCTTGTCCAAACGAGTATTCAGAACATCCTGGAAATAAGAAGTCAAACATAATCTCATATATACGCGTATACTGGGTACAAGTTTTAAAGGAAACACACGCTTTGTGCGTTTAATTATAAAAATATGCAAATCAAAATATTTTCCATACATTTACTTTGTCTTAATGATGAACGAGTAGATTTTTATAAGTGAGATTGTTTGCATATTAAGTCCAAGTTTACATATAAATTAATTGTACTGGATGAAAAGGCCTTTGGGCCTCTGGGCTATTAAGTGTTTTGTCACGATTTAGTATATTTGCTCAAATAAATATTTCAAATTAATAATAGAAACTTGTTTGGCATTCTTCTAAGGTTTTTTCTTTCTAAGTTTTTTTTTTGTTTTTTTATGGATGTTTTCATTTTTTGGTTAAATTATGTTTTAGTTTTTTGTCCGACTTTAATTTGAATAACAAAAACTTCTGAACTATGTTGAAATGACTATTCGGAGTTGATGTATAGGCATACGATTTTTACGATTTTGAATGACATGAAACTGAAAGTTTTGTTTTGTTTGGTTTGATGAAATTAGATAAAATAAACTTAAAACAAACTAATTTGGCAGAAGTTATATATTATGGTTATTAACTATAATTATAATATAATATACATATATAAACATTCCAGCAGACGGCTAAAAAGCCATAGCTGTAAGATTCATATATATAATATAATTGTTATAAGTTTTTCTATATAATACAAAAATTTTAAAATGAAATAAAATAAAACTAAAATACTACTACTACTTCTATTACTACTCATAACTAAATTATATTTATATGTAGACTTTCTATTTATTTGTTGTAAATCTAAGCGGTAACTCCCGAAATACGTTGATTTGGAGAATTCGGAGAATTCGGAGAATTCGGAGATTTCGGAATCTGGAGATTTCGCAATATTTGGAGTAATTTTTATAGAGTATGATGGTATCTTCTGACTAGAAGACTATATTTGAACCCGATAAGTGAGGTGTCAATTAATAAAGCCAAAATACAATTTATTATAATTATAATTTTAATTTATATATTGAAGTTCCATAGTAATGCATATCATAAAAAATTGAATTAAACAAAAAAAAAAATGTTGATAAGCCTCGTCAAATTATTGATTTTTAATTTCACTATTTCCATAGGTGCAAGCCTATATCTATACATCATAGTCAATGATTGGTTTTTTTTTTTTTTAATGAAACTTATTTTATTGAATTTTTAATTGTTTCTTATCAATTTGTTCCAGTTTTCATATCAAATCAACTCAAGACCACGTGTCGGTTAAAAAAGTTCTACGACTATATATCAGTAAGCATATGAATCTATAAAAAAAATAAATATGAGAACATACATACACATAGATTTTTTTTAAAGGTGCATAAACTGAACCAAAATATATAAAATCAAAACTATTGTTTAATTTAAAAGAACCAATCTAATGTTTATTAGTATATTTGGTATTACTTCGAATATATTATCGATAATAATGAGTACATTCTAAGAGGTGTGCTAGAGCAACAAACAAATAGATAAAAACGGTTTTCGAATGATTTAAAAGTTTTGGAATATAATTTAACACAAAACATATGAATAAGGAGTCAAACTATATTTTCTTTTAATTAAAAAAATAACTTCACCCAACTCGCAAGTAAAGTACTCTTTCCTGTAATATTATTCTCAATAGTTAGACTGCACAGTTGGTTTGTAGTATTCTGGGTCTGAGTAGTATTCTGAGTCTCATTAAAGTCTGGTCTGCTCTACACTTCTTTAATTTCCAAAAATGCCTACCATACATTCTAAATAGGGGTTTAACTTTATTATTAGAAACCAGTATATTACAGCGTTCCAGATTCACGTAACCTATACTTTTACCTTCAATAGAGGAAGTTTCTTTAAATAGCTTTTGTTTAAGTTTTGATATTTTTCTATTTTAGTATAGGAAATTTCAATGTAACTAAGGTGGGGTAAATGACATTAAACAATTTAGGTGTATAATATAAAAATTGCTAGAAATTGTTACAAATTTTTTGCTTTCGCGGTTTAAATAAGATGCTTTGAGACTGCCTAAATTGTCTATAAAATCCAAACATCATAGGGTAGGTTAAGTTGAAGTGACAGTCTTATGTATCGAAGCTTTTCTTAGCACAAATACTGACTCGTTGTGATACCACAGGTAAGAAACCAGAACTAAAGAATCAGTAAAAAGTAAAAGTTCCATATATCAACTGCTCAATAAAGTCAGCATCAGTAGTAAGAAACCAACCTAACAAGTCTATAAACACGGCTATGCTCCTAATTCTAAAGGATGACAGTTGGGTCAGTTCAGTTAGGAAAGTGGCTTCAATGATATTCAAACTTCTTCTACCTAATGATGGGTACTGATTCATGAATTGGACTACAGTTTTCTCTATATCCATAAATTCACAGCCCCTACAAAAGACATTAGAGGTGATCTGTCAGTATCTATATGGTAGTCGTTTTCGCTTTAGTTTCATCAAAATTCAATAAAAAAATATACGTTCGATGGGAATAGCGTATCAAATTACGTATGTCCTCGTTTATACTTTGATGTAAATGGGAGGCAGCGCTGAAGGAAGATATAGTTATATACACTGACGGCTCTAAGCTTGAAAAATGCATCGGAGCCGAAATCTAAGTCCTATCACTTCTCCGATTTGATCTCAATATTTCAGACAGAAATCTTCGCCATCCTGAGTGTATGTTCTCTTGCTACGGGTATGGATTTTTATGAAGTATTTGTTCTAGTTTACTCCAGTTTGGGTTTCCTTATCGAAACTCCTATTCTAATCCCTACCTCTCTTTGATTTGTGACACTTTTCTTCTACAGGCATATAAGGAGTGGGCGCATACTTTTTTAGCAGCCAGATCAATGGCTACTGGGCAATTTTACTCAAAATGTAAAACTTGTGTCTTAATACAGAGAGGCGAATCAGAAGTATTTATATTATAATAAATATAGTATGAACTACAAGACGGCATGGAGCTAAGCTTGGCTTACCCTGTAGCACTTGTCTACCTGCGTTTGTAGAAGAGACACCAGTACGTCTGTTGTGTTTATGTTCTGGCTTGTCTAGATACAGACTTAAGCTGTTGGGTGTCCCACTCTTCAACACACTCGGTGATATTTGCATCATTAACGTTGGCTAGATTTTTGCATTTCTACTACCCACCCAGGACTCGTGCCTCCCTCGAGTTCACCTAATTACTTTGTAATTAATTTTTGTTAAGACAATTTATTTGATATTGGTATTACAATTCAAAAAATTTATCGATAGATTTTGTATAAACAGGATATGAAAGAATAGTAGTTCAACTAAAAAGTTCAACTATTCAAGAAAGTTTCTGTTCTTATTATTATTCCTTCGGCGTTTATTTTTGATTGTTTTAAACTTTTTGGTTTAAAACCAACTTGGTTGGTATCAAGTCGATTGAAATTATGCAGAATGAATATTTAAAAGATATAAATCAACCCATAAGCTTAAAATAAAAGAATACGTTTGGAATGTAAAGTGAAAGGAGTTCTGCAACTTCGTGTGTCAAGTTGCTGTTGAACTTAGCTGAGTGAGTCAAAATAGGCAGCGGCAGAAATACCCATGCGGAATGGGTGAAGAACAGAAAGCCGTAAAAGAACAATTGGCCAATAAAAAAATTTGCTGATGGCATCGTAAAGACGCTGGCACAACTGAATCAACTGAACCAAGCCAAGAGTAGACCCACCAAAACATGATTAAATGTGTGTTAACATTTATGAACTGCTGTGATTGCTGTGATTTCATCGGAGTGGTGGAAACGATGCGTAGAAATCGCTTGTTTAGCAAAGTCAAGCTAATTTATTTGGTAATGATCATGCGTCATGCCGATAGCAGAAAGTTGATCGATAAAATCTTATTAAAACCATAAAAAAACGAAATTAGAAAAAAATACATTTACAATAAGATACATAAAAAAAATAAAATATTTAGTATTAATTTTAATCATTTAGTAAGTATGAAAATAAGCAGACAATAAAATTCTCGAATGCTTCCTGTTTAAATTGCAGACAAAAATATTAGTATTTTATTTTTAAAAAAATATTTTTTTTAGTAAAATAACTAAAAACAAAAATAGTTTTGTGTAGGATTTGATTATAATCTGTGCTGATCACATGTACACGCCACTCAGCCTAAGGCTCGTCAGGCACTCAGCAACATCAACAACAACATACTTTAAGATACTCAGATATTCGTATATAGACGATGAAAACTATTAAAACAAAAAAGATCGAAATCCGTAAAAAAAGCTAAAAATTCAAGAAACCAAACTAAAAAAAAATTAAATAAATTTAGTATCATGGAAAAATGTCATGTCGCGGTGCTATGGACATAAATAAAATGCTTTTATGGCACAATTTTCACCTAAACTATTTGCCGCCCTCAAACCTAATGCGCTTTATAGTTCTTGATTAGATACTTTCGACATTTTTCTTTGTTAGTCTCGCATTTACCGAAATGCCTTCATGTTGAGTTATTCATCTCAGGCATTTGGTAGGGAAGGAGCCAGCCTGATCGGCACACATATGCGATTTGTCAGCGTTAATGTGCGTTTTTGATATTTATGCGATTTTCTTCTCCAGTTCGGTGGAAAAGGTATTCCTAATTTTATCTAAATTTTCTCAAAAATTTCTTTTTATTTACTGAATGACTTCAATGGCTTTAAGAAGGGAGCGTGTCAAGTTTAAGTTTATTTTTATTTACGGAAAATTTTCTGACTCATTTCACAACAGGCAAATATTTAATTAAGTTTCTTATAGGAATTAAGTTATTTTTGAAAGGGAAAGGGAAATACATTGGGTAATGGAAATTTACCTGATTACAGCGCAGCCAAAATAGAATTGTATGTGGAAAACGCAATGGTCCACCAAGACGATTGCCGCCAGGTTGTTGACGTTGTTCCTTCAATTTGGCAGAAAGAGTTTGTCCACTTTGCTGAAATACCTCAATTGCACTGTAAACATAAAGGAGAAAATATTTTAAATCAATTTTAATACATTAATTTTTAAAGTACTTAAATAATACTTATAAATGTTTAATAACTAAAAAGAATTTATGAATATAAAAAAAAATATTAAAATTCTTTAATAAGAGTAGTTAGGTCAGCTTGAGTTGGAGTGACGGTTTTGTAAACTAAAGCTCATTTAAGTTCACATAATAAACTTTTGTTCTACTATGGATTAAAGTTGTTCTTACTTAACATAAGAGAACCTCCAAAAGGACCACAGTGGCTAGCCCAAAAAATATTGAAGTTGTTCATATGTAACACAGGAGAACTCGCAAAAGGACCGCAGTGATAAGGTGAAACGCACGATTCTCCTATTCAAGTGAAAATAACACTGATAAGTCCATAAACTTGGCTTAGATCCTAATTTTACACGTTGATAGCTTTGTCAGAACTGTAAGAAAAGGTGTGCTAACGACATTTAATCTTCTATTGGCGAAAGAAAGGCATTAACAAATAAAAGTAGTAAATGCTATTCAATATATTATGACTAATTATTCAATATATCTGTAATATTTTAATTTCACAAAAATATATAACATCTCAACCTTTTTAAGAAGACAGGTATTTTATATCATCAGATCATTTTATTAGATCGGATCATTAGATCAGATCATTAGTTCAGATCATTAGATCAGATCATTAGATCAGGATTAAAAAATAGATGGGAAATCTCGGGATTTTGATATATTGCAGTATTTACTACGTATAAATTATAGCTACATATAAATGGGTTATTTTGATATCTTTTAGCCCTTGCAATAGTATAGTATTATACGATATCTAAGGTTATTGATATGGAATTGATAAATCCGTTTTGGATTGATAAATCTGGATTTAATCTAGATTTACTCTCAATCTGTTCAATTTTGTAGCCGACTCGAATAATTTTAGATTAATCTAACATTTTGATAATAGCGTTCTCCTTCTTATTATTTGGCACTACAGCTCATTGTGAACCTTGGCCTCCCTTTGTAGTAATGTTAGTACACATTATTTATATTTTACATAAATAGATATATCAAATCAAATCACACATTATTTGTCAAGGCATACAAAACAGCTGTTAATTTTAGAGTAATCTTACTACCCTCGCAAAATATCTAGAGTTTTATAAATTAATCTCGAGTGTTATATATTTTGCACGAGATTTACCAATCAACAAATTGAAATTGCACTAAATATAAATCCTGATTAAAAAAGTTACCCCAGATTTACCAATCGAAAACGACATTAGATATTGCAAGGTTAGGTGGTCGTATTGAATGACATCCTCAGGAAAATCAAGATTGATCCGATCAAAAAATACATAAGAGATAGAGTTCTGAAACTATTTATGAAAACTGATAGGCTTACCAACACCGCGATATCGGATCTCAGAATGGTTGCAGACTTCTCGGGGAGTTATGCAGATCTGAGGTCAATTATTGTTAGTCTGATGAAGTGTTAAACGATAATCCAATCAAGGCGTAGAGAGGGGTTATGAAACCTCTCAGTTAGTAGGAAGTAATAGTGCTCAAGTGCATTGAATCAACTAGTCTCAATATAAATAATTAAATATATTAAATATATTATAAATAATATAAATATATTATTGCAAAATTAATCAATCAAATAGAGAATAAAATGAAAACACTTAAGGCTGGTTTAAAAATTTTAAGTTTCCACTTAACCAAACGTAACATTTCTGTTACCTTGCAAATATATTCTGTAATATTTCCCAAACTTTTACATCATCTATATTACATCATTCAATGTAATAAATGGCAACAATATAATTATTATAATAATAAACATTAGGCATAAATTAAATTGAATTATAACAATTTATCAAATTAATTAGAACATACGAACTGTATAATTAAACACAAATATGTATGTAATAGGATATCATTATAACTTGAATGAAATCTTCTCATGATATGGCAACCCTGTCATTATAACTAATCTGAAGACTTATTAATTAGCAGCCGCATGTCTTTAAGCAACTTTAAAAAATCAATTTTTTTTCAAATATAAAATAAACTGTTGAAAATATAAATAATTATGTCTGAAAATAATAATGTCGAGATTAGTCGCAAAAAATAAACAAGAAAATATTTGAGTTTGTAGAGAAAATGTTGTAAATGTTATTTCAGTATAGAAAAAAAAATACAATAATAAAAACATTCTTTAAAAAAAAAAATTCAAAAAAAAAAACGCGCCTAACAACAAAGTGTCAAAATGTTTTAAGTGTTTTTTAGCGCAAGCATAGAGGCGCGGAGTTGCCACCTAATATGAACATAGGCAGAGGTGTTCAAACAGCAGCAAAACAAATGTGCGTTGGCAGCAGCTGTCAATCAATAAGTGCGACAGTGTACCAGAAGACATGACAACTAACAAAAGAAAGCAAAAAAAAAAAAAAAATAAATAAATAAAAAGTGAGGCTGAAAAAAAAATTAACAATTTATGGAAAAGTTGCTGGAAAAAGTATTTTTTTTTTGGCATCAAATGAGTAAAGCCGGAAAATCGTGCATCTGAGCGCGTAGCTATTTTTGTTGATGTTGCTGCGGCTGATGCTGCTGATGCTGCTGTTGTTGCTGGTTCAGCTGCTGTGGATGCTGCTTCTCTGCCTTATTGTATTGCATTAATTATGTCATTAACTTAAAAGACCAAAGTAAGCGTATCCTGCTGACAAGTTTTTTAATTATAAATTTCGTTTACTTTGGAGTTTTGTCTTGCTTTGGCGGCGGCAGCTTTTTCACAATTTTCCATTATGTGCAGATTCGTGGAAACTTAATTTTCCGGATGTCACGTTGTGTATTTATTAAAGACAACACAAAAAAATCACTTCATTGTAATTTAAATGATTTTTTTTTTGTTTAGTACATATATTTGAGAAAAATATTTAAAAAATTGTGGTACATTTTTCTTTTACGATTTAATTGTAAATTTTCTAGCATAATTTTTGCAAGAAACAAGTTCGAAGTCAAACTGGGTTACTGGGTTAAATAGCAACTCATTGTTTATTTTTACAAGGCAATGCTATGCAATGCTCGTAAAAAATGCATAGTTTACTCTGTGCCATGATTTCAAAGTTTTTCTTTTTTTTTTTTAACCATCATTTTAACCTACCTTCCCTTTGGGCCTTAATTGAGCCAATTACTCGACATTGTATTTTATCTGACATGGCGCACACGTTTCTTAACTTAATTTCATCTGTGCTGCTCTGTGCTGCGAATGCACTCATATTGTGGCTATTAACTTTATTTTCCACACTCGTCTCGACTCGTCTCGTCTAGTTCCCTCTCTATATCTGCAATGTTAAACAAGCAAAGCAATCTAAGTTTGCTTTGTATCTTTTATTTTTTATCTATGCAGCACAAGCAGCTTCATTCACTTCACAGATGCTTTACGAAGATTGCTGCAACTTTGCTTGAAACTAGTTTAAAGCAGACTCATAGAATGTATTTATGTACGTGTGCTGTCGGCAGTTGGAATTATGCGCAAGTGCGCCCGTTTTCACTTTCAGTTCAGGTACATTCATGAGGCGCTGGGGAATGCTTATTATCATTTGTGGATTTAATGAAGTACTAAGGCACGCGCATTACACATTTTCAAAAGCAAAAGTATCTATTAATAATAGCTACACCGATTTCATGCAATAATGTAAAAGGTTGATATATTAATATATATCAATATTATTTAATAAATATATATATATGATTATAATTTATATTATAATATACAATATAATATATATCTACATATATTATTTAAAACGAATATATATATAATATACATTGTTATAAAATAAAAAAAACTCCATTAACAAAAATTCTTTAAGTTTAAACATGCAAGTCCAGTAGAGCTTTGGGTCAGTTGACTATGGAACATTGGGTTTGAGTTGAAATTTGACAGGGTACGAGTTCAACCATTGGAGTTTATAGTCTTAATAATCTATTTCGAAGCACTAAATATTAGAAATAATTCCAGGACCACTGATAATGTGTATAAAATAATATATAATATAATAACACGATTAGTCATCGCTCCTAATTTGACAGGTACAAGTTCTAAGCCTGGCACTTGCAGTCCAAACAAATTATATACGAACTATAAACTAATTAAATTCGATTATTTTCTAAGACTACTGATGTTGAGTACTTGGCAATACGCGAAACAGCGTTGTGTGCTCAGCCAAATTTCAATAAATTAAAAAAATTTTTGTTTTTGTCTTTTCTTTGCTATTCGAAACCGTATAACTTTTAAATAGATTCTTTTTGTCATAAAAACGCGTCACTCTCGGTAAGAAAAAATTAAGATTATAATGTATTTCAGTTTTGATTTTTGTTAAATAGTTTATATTTGACTTCTTCATCAGGATGACTTCTTCTTGTTTATTAATGTATCATACTTTGATTTGATAAACTGTAGTTTAACGTATCGTTTATAATATCAGTTTATATAGTTGGTCAGCTCGGGTGAATCTTATATCACAAATATATATGTATGTTTTCCTGTTGGAGAAAGATCAACTATTACTTATTTAATACTTAAAAAACGTTAACTATAAGTTTTTACTGTCAGTAGTGTTTAAAACAACCAGTAGGAACTTTCAATACAAACGTAGTGTTGATGATGGAGTATCTCGAAGATAGATTACCATTTGGGTTAACTGGGTGAGTCCAACTCACTCAGTGAATACGAAATCAAAATTAGTTATTTGCAAAACATAATAGGCGAGTATATATATAGTTAGACATATAATAAAAAATATTTAAAAATATTCGGAAGTTGGTATCAAAATGAATATTGATTGAAAATGAGACAGCTAAAAGAAACTTCAAAATATATAGACTATAATATAGATCTGTTTATTTTATGTACTTCTGTTATTATATTTTTTTTATTATTACATATACTATTTTAATTGTTTTTGTTTTATTTATTAATTAAATTTCATACAT